GTTCAATCACTACTTTCTTTGAATTAAGTGGGAATTGTTAACACTACATTCATTAAGTAGCAATGTTCTGGACTGGTATTTTAATATAGCTCCTTTTTAAAAATATAGGTCTGTTTCAAGCAGCTCTTTATTACAGTTATATTATTTCAAGAAAAGAAATGCGCTTTCATTTGCCAAAATAGAGTTAGAAGAAAGTAAAAAAATACTAATTTAGTTTAAATTATCACTTGTAAGTTTCAATTAAAATACTAATGTTTTGTGCTTCCATTGGATTTATTTAATATCGGTATATACTCAATGTTCATGCTTAGTTTCTGAATGGAGTTCTGATTGATTATAACACAAGAGGTATATTCCTTAATCTGATCAGAAAGGTCGTGGTGGTCGATTCTCCAGTTGAAGAAGTGTTTTTGTGATTGACAAAATACTACAACTTGGTAGAGGAAAAGTTTGAAAGTGGCAAAAGAAATTGTAATGATGATTTTGATTGTAAATTGAATTATGTATTTATAATGAGAAACTTGTGCATGTTGTATTTATTTACTTTGTTTCTTTTTGTTGCTTGTTGTTACTTTTTGTTGTATGTTGTTGCATTTTGTTGTATATTGTTGCTATTTCTTGAAACTGTTGCATTTTGGTGTGTGGTGTTTCTTTTCAATTTTTTCATTTATTTTAGCTACCTAAACACAATCTAACAATGCATACTTAAAATGATACATTCGGATTTATAAATATTAACAACAACAAACATGAAGAAACAATACAAAACAAAAATTTCAAAATTATCAACAAAAAGAAACACGGAGAAACAACAAAAAACAACACTATAAAAGTTATCAACGAAAAAGAAACACAAAGCAACAATATGCTACAAAAAGTAACACACACTCACATACATAATCATAAATTTTGGTTTATGAATATTAACAACAACAAGAAGCATGAAGAAACAACAAAAATCAACACTATAGAAGTTATCAACAAAAAGAAACACAAAGAAACAATATGCTACAAAAAGTAACATTTTTTGAAAAACTAAATTACAAACTTCATTTTTCCTGCTTTTAATATTTTCAACATGTTTACTTTTTGAAATTTTAAACATTTTAAATTTTCCTAGCTTTTATATTTTAAAACATTTTTAATTATACTAAGTTTTTTATTTTATAAAATTTAAGATTTATATTCTTCAATTTTATTTTACTTTATAAAGTTTGACTTGAATTTTTAATTTTTTTTTCAAATTTTATGTGTTTTTATAGACTTATGTGTATATGGTATTCTGATTTGAAAAAAATACTTTGAATAAAACTTTCTAGTTACTTTAGGGTATTTAACCATATTTAGACCCATTTTTTAAACTTTTGATTTATTTATATTTTTGATAGTTTATATTTTGATATAATTTATGGAGTATTTAACTATACGAAAAAGTTATGACAATTTTTTTGTAGTTTTCCCACATTTTAGACTAACTCTAAATTTCTAACGTCTAATTTTTCAATTTTTCTACTCGTTAATTTTTGTTATTTATTTTTCAAAACATAAATTACATTGTTTTCTATTTAAAATTTGATTTACAAGTTTCAAAATTTCCATTTTTATTATGCATTTGTTGATTTTTTATTTTCTGGTTGGAGGTTTTATTTCCTTTTTAATTTAGATTTCAATTTTTAGTTATTTGACTTTTATTGTTTCCAGATTATTATCATATGTTAAATTTTAATACGGAGTAACTTTTAACAATTGTTTTATAAGAAAAAAAGAAATTCCAAAACTAGAATAGGTATATGGAGTGTTTACAAATCTTAAGTTAATATCCAAAGTCTATGTACATAGCGTTGTACGGTACAATGGTGATGAATTGGGGATTAGACCTCGTCCTCCGGCCTTTAACATTTAAATGGGTTTCGTCTGTTTCGTATGACCTAAGCTATTTATGAAAAGAATTGTTTAACACGTCTATTTTTGAAAGAAACTTTGAAGGAGGATAAAAGTGATATTATTTTCCTTTTTAGTCTCTTTGTGAAAATTCCCCTATTTTATACATGGGACTATACCTCAATCCAAATCCAATGCAATTTCTTCTCTTATGTTGCCCGTAGAAGACATATTTATGATGGCCAATATATCCTTTGAGGCTACTAGACTTGGACTATTATCATACGGAGTACTCACTATTATATATTCCCTCCGGTGAACTTTGCCAAGTGCAAAGTAGGTGAGGAATAAGAAAAGTAAAGACTGTGTAGTTGAGATCTGGTCTGGGACTCAAAACGTTCCAAGTAAAAACATCTCACCTGGTGGCCAAAATCTTAATCCATGTGAGGTTTCATTAGTTTCTGTATATTTTTAAGGAAAAATTGAAATTAATAATCTCAACTATTACATGTCCGCTATTAATAATCCCAACTATCGATTATTCTTGGGTGATACCAACTATAGGGATCATTTTCCAAAAATAGTCTCTAACCTGCTACAACATGGTATAGCAGGTCAAATTTAAATGTGAACTATGTATAAGCTATAAATAATCCCAACTATAGTTGATCTTCTTTTATTAATCCCAATTAACTCTCAATTTTAGAAAAATATAAAAATATTTTTATAACTTTTCAAATTAAATACTCCATATTTTTAAACATGTAAAAATCATTATGAAAATTCTACAAATGTACCGAAGTTAAATAAAATAGTTTTAGTCATTTTTTATTTATTTTCACTAAAATTTCTTTTTTTTTTCTTTTTTCCAATTTATTATTCCCAGTTGTGTTAACGGGTTATGATTTGGTATTACTTAATTTTATTCAATTTTATATTTTCTGTTTTCAAAAAAGTAAGATGTCACTATATTTTTTATGATTGAAAGATTCAATCTAGTTTTTTTCATGAAAACATGTTTAATTTAATTTTTATGCCACGTTAATAGTTTTCATGAAAATAGTTTTTCTCTGTTTTATCCATTTTAGTATTTGTTATTTCTTTCAATTTTCTTTATTTTATATTATTATATTCTATAAATAATAAGGGGTGAATTCCATAAATAGGAGTAGGGGTGGACTCGGGTCCGGGCCGGGTCCGGGTCAGGCATAGGCCCGGGCGGGCCGGCGGTTCAGGAATGGTGGACCTGGGACCGGCCCGGGTAGCCACCGGGGCCGGTCCGGGGCCGGGCCTCCTGTTTGGATTTTTTTTTTGCTTTCCTAACCCCCCCCCCCCCCTCACCCCCCCACCTTCCCAAACTCCCCCAAACCCATCCTACCCGTCAAGCCCAACCCAGGTGGAACCCCAAAAATGAAAAAAAAAAATCAATTTGGCCCGGGCCCGGGCTCGACCCGGCCGGGCCGGTTCACCAAATTTAAGACCCGAGCCCGGACCCGCCCTACCCCCCGGGCCTAGGCCCGACCCGGACCCGGACCCGAGAACCGGGCTGGTCCCGGACCCGAGAACCGGGCTGGTCCCGGTCCCGCACAGTAGCGGGCCGGGCCAGGCCACAGGCCGGGTGGCCCAACCCGAGTCCAACCATAAATAGGAGTAAAAAAGTTTTGAAATTCCAAAATAGGACTATCATGTTTTTTTATTCCTTGAATAGGACTTTAAAACATGAAAATTATAAGTTTGTAATTTGGCAATTTACATGTTTGAAAATATTTAATTTGGCAATTTATAAGTTTTTTTGTATTTTTTTAAAAGTGAGAGTTGATAATTGGGATTAATAAAAGAAGATCGAATATAGTTGGGATTATTTATATCTTACACATTGTTCACATTTAAATTTGACTTGTTATACCATTTGGAAAATGATCCCTATAGTTGGGACTCCAAGAAATAATCAATAGTTGGGATTATTAATATCGAACCGACAATAGTTGGGATTATTATTTTCAATTTTTCCTATTTTTAATAAAACTGTATTTTATTTTAACTTTTTAAATTTGATGAAGTAATTAACTTTAGTTTTATTAACAAATTGAAATCCTTCGTACATTTACCTCAGACGTTATGGCTTGATAAAATATTATTGCAAGAACATTAAGTTTCTAATAAAAAACATTAAGTTTCTAATAATAAGTGTTTGGGATTAGGCAATGATATATTGGTATAGAAAAAAATGAAACCGAGGAGAAGGAAATGAATTATCCCAGTGTACATCGGACCAAGGTTTACTCCAAATCATAATAATAGTTATGGCCTGCTCTAAATTTGTCCAAATACATTTCATTGTTAAAAGATCAGGCAAGTCTTTGGAGTGCTTTGTCAGATGAGCTTTTGTTTCCTCAAGCCTAAAAGGCTAAAAGGAGATCAGCTTTACTGCTTAACAGCTACTCTTTTCTTATCCTAATTAGGTAGGAGTCTTACCTTGGTGACTTCAGCAAATTTTTATGGTAAATCTCTTTTTTTACTCCAGGAAGGTCTAAGAGAGGGCTGAAACTCACTTCAATGAGTTTCAAACCCTTATGAGCCTAGCAGGTTTCGAACTCGAAACTTCTCACTATGCATGGTAACCTCACAACCAGTTGAGCTGGAATGTTTGGTTATGGTGCATCTATTTGTAGAGTTGTAGAGCATAACTTTAACTATAAAAATTGTAAACTTCTTCATGATATATGTCACCGGTCAAGCCCATACTTGACCGGTGTAGGATCGTTACAACGTAACAAATTTCATCCAAGTGTCTTTGAGTTTTTCAAAATCTTCATGAACCCGTTTCACAACGTCCATTTAAATATTTTACCAAGTACAAAAAACTACTCTGTAATCTCTATTGAAGTACACAATTGAAGTAATTTTCAAATGAGATGAACAATAATAAAGAGGTTGGTCAATTCTAACTTTTTCACATATAATTGTTACATATTCTGCAATTCACATTTAGTAGACTTTAGCGCCCAAATTACCTCATATCTTAGCCCTTAGTTATTTTTCTTAATCTCAGTTCATGATAAGCTTTTTCCTTTCGTTCACAATACCAGCCCGTTGAATTATGCATCTCGGCATACATATTGCACTCTGAAGCGTTCTTTATAGAATAATAACTATGAATTTAAATAATATATGTGATATCTTGCTTCGTTAACAAAACAACACATTCTAACATTAGGGGAATAATTTTCTTCCGCTTCGGAAGAGCAATGTGCAAAGCATGTTGTAAATCAATTTCTTTCTCTCTTTGGTTGTTCTCTCAATCTATCCTCACAATAAAAATTGCATGTGGACAAAGTGAGATTAGAATACACTGAAGGGAAATGTTGCTACCTCTTCTGCTCATGTCCTCAATTCAGAGAAATAGATGAGCTTCATCTTCTAATGCTGTGTTTCTGCTAATGCAGCATCAAAGGTACAAAGAATTTGCAAACATTATTCCTCGCCTCAGGCTTTCACTGGCTGCAATGAACTTTTCCTCCAATCCAACTTCTCCAACTGCATGTGCAGCACCCTTTAACTGCAAAATCACCCCCCAAGTAACATGTTAAACGTTCACATAAATTCAGGACTAATGAAAACCTGAAGTCATGTGTACATCATGAACATATACTCCCTCCGTTTCTGAAACAAGTTCCACCTTTCCTTTTCGGGCAGATTCAAAATTAAGTTCAACTTTCAAACATTTCCTTATTTGGAAAATTATCTACATTAAAACAGTGTCAAACAGTGTTCAAACAGTGCCAAACGGTGCACTCCACAGTAAAGTCAAATTTATTTTCTTAATATGTGTGAAGTCAAATGTGGAACTTGTTTCAGAAACGGAGGGAGTACTTGTTTTCATTAACCAATCAAAGTCATGTGTATATCACGAGTAATATATAAATTTGTATTTAGATTTTATGACTTCGAAATATTATTTCAAGCGTATTATGTTTCAAATAATTTAGATTATTTGATATCATACTATTGAACAAAATCCACTCACAGAAAATTTAGCATAAAAATCATAATGCTCAACTCCAATTAGCTTTGGTATTACCTGGTTCAGAAATTCATCAAGCCTTCGAGCTAGCCGTATTATACTGCCTTCAAAAATATCAGTCATTTGTATAACCTCTCCAAATGATGCTCCCTGGTATACAAATCACACACGTCACATACATGCAATAAGTAGACTAGAGTAATCATAACACATATGTGCTCATGACTCATGCAGTTCAAGAATATATATTTTACTTTCTCTTTTTTCCTGTGTATACAGATCATCATCACAGCCCACCCAAGTCCCAAATATGTTGTATATATGATGAAATAATGTTTAGATCAGTTTGGAATTTGCATTTCAGCTCGCTTTCACTTTCAGTTCCCAACCTCGATAAAACGCCTTAAAAATTATTATGGCTGGCAGATAGTAACTTTAACCAGTGGTTGAAATTTGAATCATTTGATGCATCAATTAGATATGTGCACCTGAATCAATTGTCATAGCGAGTAAAAAATAGTAACTGAAAATTACAAATGTCACTCGGCACTAACAATTAACTCACCTTAGACCAGCAATAAATAACATCCATTGAAAATGGCCTAATAGATGCCTCCACATATTCTTCTACATTTACTTCCAACTTGCACTCGTGTTGGATCTGCAATTACAAAGAAGCTTGTGATCAACAACAACAACATCCAAGCCTTAATCCCAAAAGAATTTGGGGTCGGCTAACATGAATTGATCCATGATATCGATGCCAAAGAAAGAAAAAAGAGAAGGAAAAAAAGTAAGACAAAACGGATAAAATAAAGAAATAAATATAAGATAACAATAACATAAGAATATAAGAAAGATAAAAGATAACAGATAAAAGAGCATAAAAAAGCTAGAAGATAAAAATAACATAAGAATATAAAAAGATAAAGAAGATAAACGATAAAAGAAAAAGGAGAGGAAAGATAGAAACGACATCACAAAAATGGAAAGTTAAGTCCCTATTCAGCATACTTCTGCTATTCTTCTTGCACTCTCCCGTAGTTGTTGTAATGGCTTAGCAAGTTCTGCTCTTAAATGAATCTGTTCATTTGATTTATCTCCTGGGATGAAACAACTTGCCAGCGCAGCAATTTGATGGTGATCAAGATCATTGAAAGTACCTGACCATAGATATTATTCAGATTTGTCTGAAGTACGAGAGATGTGTGTTTGTGTGTCTGTCTATATCTACCCATAGAAGATACTTCAACACTGGTCGTTATTTGATAATAATGGACTTAGGTACCTAAGTACCTAGCCTTTAAGACCAACATATATGGACGTAAAGGCTAAAACACTAAGAATGGTTCAGCATGCAACCCATAATAGATAAAACAGCCTGACTCCGGCTTAAAAGAATGCAAAAACTATAGAGACCATATCCCTTCCTTTCACTAGCATGATCCACCTAGAATAGATTCAATACTATAATTACAGCTATCCAGGAAAGAAGATAAAAGAACTACCGTTGAACATTAGTTCAGTTACAAGGAGCTCATCTCCTGTGTCAATCAAGCATGCGGCTCTTCCTTTCAATTGTACGACACCATCAGCATCGATGTGACCTAGCTTTTTCAGGACCCGAGATCGATTTTTAAGTTCATCTCTAAACTTTTGCAGCTGAAATTTTAAGGAAAAAATGTTGTGAGTAAAAAAATATACAAAAACAACAACATTACTGATAATTCCCAGCAATCAGTGGCATCAAGAATTGAGACGCAAAAGCGTTCATAGCATCATAACCTATTCTCAAGCTACTGCCTTGTCAAAATTCATACAGCTGCTAAAAAATCCAAACATATTCAATTAAAATTAATGTGGATGCTGAAAATCCTTAGCAGACAGTAATGAGTGGGAACAGTGTATAATGGCATCAAAAACAAACTACAATCATGCATTGACAGCAAGGTACAAGAGAATTCAAAACATTCACCATTCTACTATTATAGGTATGCCAAAATAATGAACTGCTTTAGTTCGTCGGTTATGAGCGCTAGAAATTAATTGAGTACCATACATGATTGTATAGTAATATGCAATAAAGCACTGAAGGAAAGTAGCCTTGAGAGTTGAGATTCTTTTGACCATATCATTAAGTGTTTCACAGGAAATCCTATCTAAAGTCTAAACTTGAGTTTTTAGCCAGAAACAAAACTTTAACAATACCTACTAATGGCATCAGAAAACTGAGAACATTTGAGAAGCTTGTTACAAAATAGATTATAATCCTTTAGTAATGCATATGCAATATCTGTGTGCAACAACAATAAGATACATCTACCATAATACTCCATCCGTCCCATAAAATTCTTCCCACTTTGACTTGGCACAGAGATTAAGAAAGTGAAATAAAGTGGAAATGTGTGGTTGTAGTTGTGTAAGAAAAAGGTGAAATGAATGTGAACCACACGAATTGTCTATAAATGGTAAGTGGGAAGAATTTTTTGGGACGGACCAAAAAGGAAAGTGGGAAGAATTTTATGGGAAGGAGGGAGTACTAAAAAGGTTAAAGAAGCACAAACCAGGAATTTCAACAAGCAAAAGGTCTCAAATGGAACTGTATATACCTGGTCTTTAAGTGGATTTACATATAAAGCATGGTTATATGAAGAGGGAAAATAACCGCATGAGATGCCTACCTGTGAATCACGCATTTTTGACTTAAGTTGTTGAATTTCATGATTCACCTCAGCCTTCCTATGGAAAGACTTAAGCTGGTGCTCATCTTGTGACTGCAAAGCACTAACCCATCAGTGAAAACTAACCACAGTGGTAATAAGTTAAACAGTTTTAGGAGTACTTGGTGAGTCGCACAAGTAACAGAAAATAAAGTTACTTTATGCTTCGCTTTATAATAAAAAGAGGCTTTACATACATGCATACATAAATATATCCATAATTATTTATTTATAAAAATTTACTTATTTTAAAGAACCTTGTGTAAAGGATGAGCAAACAACTTTTTCTCCAGTTCCTCTATTTGGCTCATCATATCCACAAATTCAGGATCTTCTATCTCCATATCCTGGGGAAAAGAGAGATTAAGTATTAGGATGGGTCATTTTCTTCTATCCGCATAAACCTATGATCATTCCATAGACCCAATATTGAAGTCTCAAAGGGTCAAGAATAAAACACTGAAGAATACCCCATGAAAGGTCAATGCAAAAAGCTTTTGACGTCACATGAAGTGCAAATGTTTAGGAACGGATTCGCCAGTTCAGATTATATAATGAGTAACAACCCTACCTTCACGGGGTTCAGCTTTGGGAAGCCTTGAGGGAAACTTTTTTCAAGTGCCCCTAATGCAAGCAGGATGCTTTGCCTTGCTTCAAGCGGCCGGAGGTCAGGAGGAACAGTTACTCTCAATTTGCTAATTGCAGATATCAATGGCAATTGGACCGGAACCTGAGAGTTGAAATTGGGTCAGACCATGACATCGATTTAACAATGCAAGAAATGCTACGGTTACCAAATTGTACTCAAACTGAAATAATGTACAATACATCCTTTTCGTTATAATAGCTTACCACATGCATTTCACCCTTTTCTCCAGGAACAGGAGGGCATGGTTTGGGGCGAGAACCACTTTCACCGGAACTAATAGAGCAATGAAGTAATGTATCCACAATATAGGTGTTACCACGTGAAGAAGAAAGTGCAGCAGGCAAAGAACCTGATGATGTAGGGGGTCTCCTAACAACATTGACAACAACACCCCAACCCCAATCCTTTCCACCCTCCTGAACTTTGACCTGCAGTATTTGTCAAAGTTGTTAGTGCAGAAAAGTAAGTCAGTTTGACAAGACTGCTTTTCTAAAGAGTGAAAGAGCAGATTGGAGTGTCAAATTTTCCCAAAGATTAACAGGGCAGGAGAAGACATATAATACCATGATGCCAAATAATATTAATGTTTTTATGTCAGTTCCAGGGTAGGAATATTATAACTGACATCAATTTATAATTACACAAGTATGTTATTAGACTAAAATAACTTGAAATCAAAACAAAAAGAAAACAAATTTTATGATTCCTAATGTTAATTAAATTTCACCTACCCTATTTTTGAATACTTTTGCAGGAAGATACTACCTATTAAGCAGAATAATAGAAGTGTAAGGCTTGTACACCTCCAGCAATATCTGCCTCTATTGCACGGTTATGAACCTAGCCCATACTAGGCCCATACCAATACCATAAGCCCAGGTGTAGAACTCACTCCCAAAAGACCAGCCGATTAGGAGGAGGGAACGCCTTGCTTATAAGCCACCGGTCAAGCCCATACTTGACCGGTGTGGGGTCGTTACAATACCCCACGCTTTGAAGAGCCAACGTCCTCGTTGGTCACGGCTATGTTGGTCACGGTTGGCACCCCCAGGGCCCAAGCCACCACTCCATAGGCCACCACTCTGAGTGTCGGGACCAGGAAGGTGGGGATGTCTCTGATACCAATTGTTACGAACCTAGCCCATACTAGGCTCATACCAATACCATAAGCCCAGGTGTAAAACTCACTCCCAAAAGACCAGACGATTAGGAGGGAACACCTTGCTTATAAGCCACCGGTCAAGCCCATACTTGACCGGTGTGGGATCGTTACACGCATTGAGAAGCAAAATCCTTGAAGCACTTTTGGAGTTTTGGTAGCAAAAAAGTCCAAATAGAAATGAACACATCGTAGTCCAGCAACAAAAAAACATATACATGACTAGGTGCGTGTTCATTTAGATGGAAATAGAAAAAATAAAGGACAGAAGTTAAAAATGGAACTTTGTCCATTTGAAAATATAGGAAAAGCTAAAAATCAAACATGGCTCCTTGAAAAAATGCATGTAAACCGTATGTAGGCTCTGCTCATTCCCCTTATGGAAAGATCAGTAACTTTCCTGATTGCAAGCAGATCTATCTTGAAAGATTGGAAAGAAAAATTAATGAATGGTGAAGTGAGGAAATAAAAACTTTGAGAAAAGAAAAATGACTCCCAACTAAGATGCCCAATATGTCATCAACAGTTTTAAGATCTTCCTCTCAGTGATTCAATATAGGATTGTTTCAAAGGAAATGGTTCAAAAAAGATAAACATGTGTAGCGATGAAATAACTCATAAATGGCATCACCTAGAAAAAGACATAATGTACAGTTTTCATTCGCAGAAAGGAGCCTCTATACACAAAAAGTGGTTCAAAGCAGATGCTGAGAAATTAAATATAAGCAGAAGCATAGACGACACCTTCCTCTTACCAGTCTACCGGGTAACAGGAAATAGAGAACCCTTTCAGGTCGCGTTATTTCAACCATCATTTTCTTCTCAATTTGTGACAATTCAAGCTTCATCTTATGATAATCAGCTACCTCTACCTGCAAAAGAATATGAAACAAAATTCAGGATCAAAATAAATAAATAAATAAATAAATAAATAAATAAATAAATAAATAAATAAATAAATAAATAAATAAATAAATAAAACAAAAATGAAATAGATAAGAAGTACCTCTCCTGAAGCATCGAGCATAGCAGCTTCTTCTTCTAACTTAGAAATCTTTTTTCCTACATCAGGCAAGGCCTAATGAAGCAAGAAAGTACATCAGTGACATCCATGCAGTAGAGACTGAAAACTGCTCCTCAGGAAAAGTTACCTTCTCATACTGGAACTGGTGAAAAGAGTTTTTTATGACATGCTCAGCAGTAAATTGTCCTTCAGCACGACTCATTAAATTCAAAATAGAGTAGTAACTAAGCCTAAATGTGCTGAGCAGTGGTGCCGGTTTCCCCAAAATCATGTCCTTGAGAGTGACCATCTCCATCTGATATCAAAATAATTTTAAACCAACAAATCTGTCAACCTTGGAGCAAGTCATCAAAAGCTGATTTCAAGTTTTGCTTAATTGCATATCAAGCAAGCCTTGTTTATCATCAACGAAGCCATGTTATTAAAGTTGATATTGCCACACAAACAAAAACATGGATGAAAGAAACACGGATAACTTAGTACAAGTGGGATGGCTAGATGATGCATTAACTCCCACATTAGTATAACAGAATATTGACGCCCAACAGAATAAATAAAAACACATCAGCATTCTTGAAGAGAATTAGATAGCAGAAGAGAGGATATTGTCGCAGAAAAATCAGGAATGCGATAAAGGAAAATTGGGCTGATTTTTTAAGTAGGCATGAACTATGTAACAAAACCCTGAAAACACAAAGGTGTACACCTCTATCCGACCTTATTGGATACCCCTCATCCCAAAAGGCTTGAGCCTCAATATTGCCTAGATTGAGAGTCGCCTTAGCATGTATGGAGCAGAAATCGCCTAATGGCGCCATGAAGCATAGTGGCATTGCGCAATTACAAAGCTGACATCTTATTCATAGCAGCCAAAGCGAACTTACACTCCAGCAACAAAATTTAAACAGATTATACAATACCTGCTCATCTATCATTATGATACAAATACCACGCTCATCTTTGCCACGGCGCCCAGCTCTTCCACTCATCTGGAAAAAAAAACAAAAGACGTGAATGCCTTCACCATTTGTACCATATGCCCTCTTTTATATATCATTAGACACTTACCTGGATGTACTCACCAGATCCAATGAATCGATGACTATCACCATCCCATTTCTTGACGCTAGTGAAAACTACCGTTTTTGCAGGCATGTTTAGTCCCATTGCAAACTAAGTATGCATAAGAATACGGTAAATCAATTATTTGGCCCAAACTTAGACTACACACAACTAAAAAGCTTCCAATTGTGTATTTAGCATTACATCATACCGTCTCAGTTGCAAATAGCGCCTTAACAAGTCCTTCTTGGAAAAGAAGCTCTACGAGCTCTTTGATAATAGGAAGCAGGCCAGAATGGTGTACAGCAATTCCACGCTGAAGTAGTGGCAGCATAAGTTCGATGGCAGGTAGGCTTCTGTCCTCTTCACTCAAGCAGAGCACTGCATTCCGGAATACCTCTTCGACAACACCCTTCTCCTCGTCGGTATTAAAATCAAGTTTGGACATAGACAATGCATGCTGTTCACATTCTCTTCTGCTAAAACTGAAAATTATGACGGGCTGGAACTTCCGTTCCATAATCATCTGCAAGTTAAAGAGGTTTGCAAGTTCATGTTGGTACACTCAAATCTCAGCGGAAATAAAATAAGGCAATCCTAAAATCATTTGGGCACCTTGACAATTTTGTAGATGTCAGATCCACCAGAAGCATTCCCTCCTCTAGCAATTCTGCCACTAGCTTTGGAATTAACGTTCTTGTTTCCATTTGCTGGATGCTGCTTTGTAAAAGCATCTTGTACTTTCACAAAATTGTCCTCCCTGAATCTCTCAGACTCATCTACCACAAGATACAATCCAGAGCCGCCTGTGGGGAAAACATAATGCTGCAATGGTGTAGGGCGGAAATCCGTGTAAACCACGTGACATGGCTGCTTATGCAAGTTGCATATCCATTCAGCGAACTCAGTAGCATTTGACATTGTAGCAGAAAGAAAAACCATCTTAATAGCAGGAGGCAAGAAAATGATACTCTCTTCCCAAACAACTCCCCTCTCACGATCTTTCATGTAGTGTATTTCATCAAAGATAACCCAAGCAACCTCCTTCAACACCTCAGACCCCCTATAGAGCATTCCTCTTAGGATCTCTGTGGTCATCACCAAACAACTTGCATTTGGTGAAATTGTAACATCACCTGTCATTAACCCAACATCGGAAAATTCTTGGCTCAGCTCTCTATACTTTTGATTGCTCAATGCTTTCAGCGGTGAAGTATATATAACCCTTTGTTTATCCCTAAATGCCATTGCAATAGCATATTCAGCCACTGCTGTCTTCCCAGCAGACGTATGTGCAGAAACCAAAACAGACTCCTTCCTCTCCAGGCATGCAATAGAAACTTTTTGAAATGGATCGAGCATAAAGGTATACGTCTTTGCCATTTCCCCATTATAAACAGGATTACTAAGAGTCCCGTGAACAGCCTCGTCCTTACTTAGAGTATACGCATTTGGAACTGCCACCTCATGCACACATGTTCGAATCATGTTACGCCTTTTAGAGGCAGAATCTTCCTCTGGAACTTCTGTACCAGCTGATTTTTCCTCCGCGTATTTCCTTTTACCGACTTTAGGAGACAACTCCTCCGCTTTTGCCTCCATGTTTTTCCTTAAACCCTCTAAATAACGTCCTGTTTCAGTTCGATAAACTAACACATATTAACAGCAGACTCTTATCATAACAAAGACGGAAGAAATGACATATTCATTTGTATGAAATTGTGCTACCTCACGCTTGTCTGGCTCCGGGGCACAGGAATGCGGTGAAATTAGGGTTTCCGACGTTCGTAGGATAACGAGGGTCAAGGGACGCGCCCTTGATAGTCTGGTTGAGCTTGGAGGGCTGGAGAGTTGCAAGTGTAGAGGTGAAACAGCAAATTTGATATCTGTGAGACTGTGACCGTGCCCTTGGAAGTTTGAAATTATTTTTTAAAAAGATATTTATATTTATTATTATCGAGAAATTAATAAAAGTAATTAGGAATGAAACTTGTTGACTTTTTTATTACAAATAATTTGGATATTTATAAATCTTACCCCAACTCCCAGAACTAATGTTTTTTCCTAACTAGACTTGTGCTCGGTTCAATCCTATTGCATTGAATCATGTTTGGTTGACCTTACAATTGTGTATGAATGAAACTCTTAAAGTGGGGGGCAATAACTACAAGGTGCCGCATGTAGGAAAAAGTGCACTTCAAGCTCAAGGTAATTTGTCAATCTCTTTCAAGGCAGACTCAAGTGCATGGTTGGAGATGACTCAAGAATTAGGAGAATGAACATGGATTAACAGTGTGGAGGTGTTTTTTGGGACTGAACAAATAAAGTATTCACATTTTTTATTGTTTTGAATACTTGACATGTTCAGTCCATTAAAAAATGGGTACATACTCAATTGAAAGGCATGGATAGCTTTTTTTGGATAGATTGACAAACTATTGCAACAGTTAAGATATCACAAGGCTGCAACTGTTTTAGGCTGCAAGTGTTCAAGGGCTGCTTCGTTCAACCTCTTGATCCATTGCGCGGTGACCGAGATGTCACCTGTTCCGTTGAAGGGTTTGCACCCCAAGTCTCTCGCCTCCTTGAGAAATTTTGAGATCCTTATGATTGGATCTCCATCACCCGGCCCCCATGTGGTTCATGTGGGCCCTAGAGTTGCCATGGCTTCTTCCTCTTGAAGCCCCACCCGAAGTTTTCCCTCCTTGGCACCTTCGGTGTTCCCTCCTTTCCTCGCGCTCCCGTTGGTATTGCTGGAGCAGCGCCTCAATTCTTGCTCGGGAGTCATTCTCCCCCTCCTCATCACTCACATAATCGTCATCCCCTTCGTAAGGGGTCTCAACCGGCTCGATCTCCGGTCGATAAGTCGAGTCCTCATAGGACCATTAGGTTTCACTCTCGGTGTCAGCATGACCGTCGCTCACGGTCTGCGATCGGACTCCACGGCTCGCCCCTCTAGATACTCTAGAGGCCCCACGGCTGCCCTGCCCGGTCGCCACCGGTGCACGTCCCGTCGGGTTCCTTCTCGTAACCTTGCCACCACCGTCCATTTCTGAAAGAAATTTTGGTAAGACTCATTAGACCCGTATCAAATGCCAATTGACGGATAGGAACTTGAGACACTACTTGGCTCGAATTGCCGCCATACCAATTGTTAAGGGTACCATCTAAACAATTAGAGACCTTGTAACTCAAGTACCAAAAGTTCTATAAGTACAAAACAGTTATGCTCATGGTTTTCGAAATCATTTGGAAAAAGAGAATTTTGAGTCTTCATTATGGAGTTTATGGACTAAGGCTCTCATACCAATTAAATTGTCACGCCCCGGATCTATCCGGACACGTCAACAACCCGCCGTACAATACGAATAGTCAACCGCGGTCTAACACATCCATATTATACAAGGCGTCTCGAATATCATTCACACATAAGTCATCCATAAACATACATAATAAGTAATTAAATACGCAGCGGAAAACATGGTTTTAAAACAAATGCCACATGGGGCAAGCAAGAGCACGCAGGCTCTATAGTGAAAATATCCATGAGCATGTTTTATAAATGTTCAAAACAGAATGGAGGAAGCACGAATCAAGTCTTCTCTCCGAGATGATCACCCAATCAACAAGCACAGGTAGCAAGCTCTAGTCTCAACCTGAAATGGTGGTGGGACGCCCCCGAAAGGGGGTCAGTACTCTATACGGCTATAAAGTACTGGTATGGATGACATCTAATAGCTATACAACAAGTATATCAAACACAAGACCCTCAAATAAGGTGATAATATAATCTAGATCGTAACCCCAAGTTACTCCTTTTCAAGATATATTTACTTCATATATAAAGTCAAGTAGTCGGGCCGTGGGCCCAAGGTTTGTTTACAAAACATAACCCAAACTCCGTGACCCCTAGTCATGACAATACATAGGGTCGAATCCTAACACATATGTTTGCATTTCTTGAGTCCAACTCAACTACATCACCATGCACCTTATATGACACAAGTTAATTACTCCACCGTGCATTTCTTGAGTCCAACTCAACTACATCACCATGCACATCAATCACAAGTTAATTACTCCACCAATCTACGACGTCATGTTCACCCATGCAATTCTAGAGCTCGGGCTCAAGTGCATCTCCTTACATGAGCTGAACCTAAACCTTATGTCTACCCAATGCAATTCTAGAGCACGGGCTCAAATACATCTCCTTACATTGGCATAGACCCCAATTACTAAGCACTCGTTATGCTTAGAATTGTAATATCAATAATATATTTTGGGACATCCTTACGGACTGCCTCATCATGATCTTACATCATATTACATCAATTTAGTCACTTGCATCACAATCAAGTACATCAATTACAATCAAATCCTTAGATTCAATTCCTTAACAATTACAACGATCATTAACTACTATTTCAATACTATTAAGGTTATTCTTATCCATCATATATTCCGTTTGTAAATCCCTACATATTTAGAGATATGTAGCAGCAACTTAATCATCCAATGTAATACATAAATGGTCATTTATGTATCTACACAATTCACACATGAGTAAAAATGCCTATTTCACACAATAGTTCATTTAACTCCATTTTTATCAATACGTTTCCAAATCATTTCCCATTTCATTCTTTGGCAACTATATCAATATTTCACCAATAATTTATCATCATAATCCATGAAAAGCATGATTTAGACATTTAGGTAATCTCATGCTTAACCTACAAGTTGTAAGCAACTAGATGTCGATCCTCACCTTAAATGAGCTTTAAACCTTTTCCTTCTCAATCCAATGCTCAAAGCTTCGGCCAAGGAAGTTTGAGAACTGATTCTTTGCTTAGAATTGATTGTTGAACAGCCTCCTCAAGGTGCTAGCTCAACACTTATCCAATGACACAAAAACAGCCCCTAGAATGGGCGTTTTCCGGCGAAAACGTTTCCTAACTTTTCAAGGTTTGTTCTATGTTAGTATCTAACCTTTACTACAAATAAAATAACTTTACAACAACACTTTATACACTTGAAACAGTGTATAATAGTTCTTCAATCATTTAAATGATTTAGGCAATAGAAAGGGAAGTTTTGGATTCAAACTTACTTTGAATACAAAACGTATTCTGCGAGGTTGTGTTTTGTTCGGACAATTTGGAGGCCTTAAACTGCTCCAATTTATGAAACCCACACCTCTATGGATTCATTATCTTGAGAGATTTCTTTTGGCACCTCACACGTCTTAATTGGATGAGTATTTCGCAAGATATGAGTCGAACAAGAAGACCAATGCACTGGAAATTCTCCGTACGGCCAAAATCCTTTCTACCCCCTTTTTCTTGTGTTGTGAGCTCTTATCCACTACTCCTCCCAAGATAAGAGTCCGAATGGAGGTTGTGATAAGGCTCTAGGATCTCTCAATGATGATAACTAATCGTGTGGTTCACAAAAAGAAAGGGTAGGGCGTTTGATTGCAATCAAACATGGGATGGTCCACCTCTTTTATTTCTTTTTGTATAGTTTGAGCTCTCAACTCAATAGGTCCGCCAAATTTATGTGTTATAACTTATTCACCTTATTTTGAAGGTTCTAGGAAGGTGTGGGGCGTACTCTCATGTCCCCTAATTAATTTGGGAGCAAAAAACATCTACCAATACTTCCAAAAGTGGAAAGATGGATCCTATTGTTTTTGTCTTTTGTCATAAGATGTACTTTTTGTACTCATACCAATTTATTTAGATCAAGTCAACCTTCTACATCATATTATTGATCTCTAATATGTGTAGGATGGTCCTCATAATTTATATGATGTATAATTATAAAAGAGAACCCTACTCCCATTATTTAGCCTAATAATGCCAAAGATGGGACCATAGGCATTTGTATTCTTCTCCAATCATGCTATCACTTATTTATGACATTAATATTCATATAGCTGGGCTACTAACCGTGTGGGTCACCCTCCAGTGGGTCTAGGACGTCATTCTTGGATAATTGCTATTTTTAGCAGGTTAGGCCCAAAATAACATTTGGGCTGCCCGACCGCTCTTACTTTGCACCAAGGGATTATATATCTTTATTTAAGAATGTTGGGCCCCAATATCAATAAGATGGCCCGGTTAATTATTTGGAAGTCCGTTACTATTATACGAGCCCAAATAGAAATATGATTAATCATACGTTACGTAAAACTTTAACCGTTTTACAATTATTCGATAATAGGGAAATTCAATACATAAGCTTTGAAATTTAATTTGAATTTCAAGGATGTTTGGGTGCGGTGTCACATGAAAAATGCTACACAATGGAAAGATTAAGATAAATCGGCTTTGGAAGTGGACTCACCACAGTGAAATCCTCTTATTCTTCAGAGCTACCGTCCGGAAGATACAAGGGATGAAAAAATGCTAAATACAATGGAAAGACTAAGATAAATGCTAAACACAGGATGAAAAAACTTAGCTTGGAGTTGGACTTACCACCGTCTGCTTCTTTCTCAGCACGAACGACTGGCTCCTCAGCGCCACAGTGTCTAGTTCGTGTTCGACGATGGCAATGTAAGGATCATGGCTATGACCATGGCAACATAAGTCCATATCACAACAAGGACCATCTTATGCAGCAGGATCTGCCCCTCAGCGGCATCGTGTCTAGTTCTCGTTCGACGATGGCAATGTAAGGACCATGGCTATGACAATGGCAGCATAAGTCCATATCACAGCAAGGACCATCTTATGCAGCACGATCGGCCCCTCAACGCCATCGTGTCTAGTTCTCGTTTGACGATGGCAATGTAAGGACCATGGCAATGACCATGGCAACATAAGGACCATCTTATGCAGCACAATCAGCCCCTCAGCGCCATCGTGTCTAGTTCTCACGGTCGGGCTCGTCGATCTCT